GGGGAGGGCACTCTGTTTTTCCTAACTCTGACCTAAATTGATTCCACTTGCTTGGCGTGACTCTCTTGGGATCCCAACACCTTGAGCACATGTGACCAAGTGGGGTCTATGACTCAGTTGGCTCCCAGGGTCCTGCTGCCTGATTTATGGTCATGGCTTTGCCTGGGGCTCTGGAAAGCAAAGCTGGGACTAAAATGACAGTCTTCTAGGCCAATTCCGTGCCCAAAATAGGAACAGAGAAACATCAAGGACAGTCAGAACCATCGGAAAAGACCTCCACACTGAAACTTGTCATTGTCCTGTTCGTTCTTATGCACCAGAGCTCACAGGAGTGCCTGGTAAATTAAATGGTTCTTTCCCGAGGCCACACTTTATAAACATATACGCAAGATTATAAATTCCATGCCTCCTGACTACTGTAGTGGTTAGAGGTCAATCATATTGAAACCCATTTTATACCATTTTAGAATTCTTTTTTTTTCTTCAGTAAATGACATTAAAATCCCATATGAACTAAAATGGGTAAATTGTTAATAGCCATGTTAAGTAGTGTTTTTTTTTTAAAAAAAATGGATGATATCGATAATGATTGCACTGTATTTTAAATATTACATGTCATGGGTTGTATAAATAATCTTAAAACTCGTTCTCTGAGTCTGCTTTTGAGCCTGATTCTGATATTCAGTGAAGTGAGGGAAAACACATTTGTTCAACTTGAATGTAAGAAATGACAAGTCAATTTAAAAGAAGGTAAATAATACACAAACATCTTCTTAGAATTCGGAATGCTTTTCAAACACAATAGTAACTAGAACATTTGTCAATTCTGCACTTAATGATTTTTGACACCTAGTAATAGAATAGGTGCCAAAAATCATTAGACCTATGACCTATTAACACCCCCTCCAATCCTCCTCTGAATCACCGTTCCACGGAGTAGACGCTTTCATTCCATTCTGATTCGGAGAAAGATCACCAATGTGCTTTTAAAACACTAGTGGAAGTTCCATTCCCATACTTCTCTCATTTAGTAAGTGGGGGCTTTGTGTTTGGCTTTATTTTTGCCTTCCACTGAATCTGCCATATAAGGAGCTATGGAGTGTACATTTCGTGGATTGTGTGATTTGATGTCTATCCGAAGACCTGAATGCGCTTTGAATGACTCTCTACTGAAGAACAGCTAGTTGTCTTCGTGTGGGTATCATGAGTGTTCCGCCGTTTCCATTGCCACCTGGTATTTTCTCAGACGTCTCAGCTAGGGATTCACTAGTAAGCCTGATTTCCTAGGTATTGAGAAATGCATGAAAGGAGCTCATCATGATGCTTACACTCTTTGTTATAATAATAATAATGTTAATGGAATAATATCCTGAAACCACATTTATGACGGTTGCTTAAAAATTAGCACCTCCGTCTTCCTTGTGAGTGCGTTTATAATACATGCTTTGCTTCATCATTTGTCTTTCAGCAGTTCACAATTACGTGTCACGGGGCATAATTAGGTTGGCAGAACTACCTTGCTGATATCCAAATATTCTTTTTCCCCCTTTTCTATTTCAGTTTCAGGCATCTCCTACAAATCATTTTTGGAGTGGTTTTATAGACGGAGCTCTGAATAAAAAGCCACGTCCTCCGTGGCCCTGCTTCATGCCCAGCCATTCACATGGGGCTCAGCCCTGGCCCCACAAGCAAACAAACAACACAGCAGCAGTGTGGTTCAGGACAAGTCACAAAGTCTGCTTTGACCTTGCCCACCGGTTCTGTACCAGATTGTCCTGTTCATCTGTTCATTGTTTATTTATTTATTCTTGTAAGAAATTTCTGTTGAGCACATAATGTGAGCCAGGTAGGATTAAAGATGCTGAGTCTACAGTGGGAATAAGATTGATGCGGTCTCTGTCCACATGGAACTTCCATTCTAGTCAGAGGAGAAAATTCTATACATAAAAACAACCAACCAAGATGTGTGCTAAGGGCAAATAAAACCAAGTCAGCGATAGAGTGACTGAGGATAGGTAGCTTTGCTTGGGTGGCGAGGCAAAGGCTTCTTTAAAGAGTGATGTTTGCAATGAGACTGGAGAATGGGAAGGAGCCAGCCTTGCGACCGTCTGGTGGGAAAGCAACCAGGGTGAGGCAGTTCAAGTCCAAAGGCCCCAAGGTGGAAACCATGGAAGGGGCTGGAGGAGCAGAAAGAAGCCCAGTGTAGCTGAAGGGCAATGAACTTTTAGAATGGCTTTCCTTCACCCACTTCTTAAACTCGTTTTTGAAGCCAGGAGCTGCCATGGTCCCTCAGGGCTTGGTCACCTGAGCCACCCACACACCAGTATGAGGAAGAGTGAGGGAGAGCCAGTAAGAAATGGTGGAGGTGGTTCCAGGCAGCCAGGTGTTAGAGGGAGAGAGGTCAACTGTTCTCCCAGTTTCCTGGGGCCAGCAGTGCCATTCCAGCTCGGGACAGGCCAGTTAGAAGCTGACTGAGCTTAGCAGCTGCTGTCCTTAAGCAAAATTCTCCAATGCGAGGACATGGAGCACCTGTGCCCGGACTGACAACTCTCCCTTTGTGGAGAAGGGACGAGTCTCAGATCAACACGTTCCTTCCCCCAGAGGCTGCTGATGGATTCCTCGCAAGGTTTTTTGATACAGGGAGGGAGGCTGCGTTTACATGTTTGCTCATCCTGATTTTAAGCTTTTAAAAGATTGAACAAAAATAGGATTGGTAAATAAAGAGCTTCGAGAAATAATTGCCAATTACTTAAATATCTTCAACGTACTTCACAGTAGAGAAAAACTATAAAGCTTCCTATTACACATGGCTTATTCTTAAAAGATTTGATTGTGCAATAAAAGGCGTCTAGTAGTTCCTGACTATTGCACGCACAGTTTTCTTAAG